TTTGGAGTCTCTCGCTGCAGCACTGAGCGATATGTTCTCGGGCGCCATAAGGGGAATTAGTTCCCTCAGAGTTGACGATTCCCCCTGTTGACAAATACCCGCAAGCATGAAGCCCACATCTAGAGCTACGCGACAAATAACTTCAACCCTTCAGAGTAAATAAGGAGTGCACCGCGATGGCCGGTTTCTCGACTTGGTGTTCACATTGCATAGGTGGCCGACAGAATTCAGCCACCACCAACATCGAGGGCTAGACTTACAACATTGGATACTAACTATCAAACAAACGATGAACGTTACCGAAATCCCTACGTACCCGACTCATCTGTATTGCTGAAGCTTTGGCTATCAAAACAGAAAAGCCAGATCTCTGTGTACAGAAAAAGGCCGTTCAACAACTCCAACTTTCATGGTCTTAATCCCTCTATTCTAAAGTATGGTAATCCCCAATCATATTTTAGCTCTACCAATTTTTCATTTTTTCATTTTTGTCTATTCAGTTTGTATACTCTTCCTTATTACGTCAGTTGTTATTATTACTACTCTCACTTTTAACTGTCCCCGGTATTATTTCACTTGTTCCACTTGTCATTCTAAATCAATTCCTTCTTACAACATTAAATTCTATGCTATTAAATCTCACACAATATTACGTAACCTTTTATTTTATTCGATTTGTCTACTAATCTTATAATTGCACACCCTTTTTCAAGTTCTATCCATCCTATGAATTATTCTATATATGACATTAATTTGCTTTGCCACTTGACATTTAACTGCGATTATAATCACAAACATTTTAGTTTTAATTGCATTTCATATTATTTTTGTTATTATTATTTTACGCATTCACGCCTATGATTCAATTCCCTCACCCGATAAACTTCTTAAAAACCATATTTATACGATTGTACAGCTTGATGATAAATTCATTGAAAAGAGTCTCTTCGCTGAATCATTTGTTTTGATTTTGTATAGAAACTATAAGGTTTGAAAAATTTTGTGGCATAAAATAAGAAATGGATATGTTAAACACTCAAACAGAATGTAGTCGAAGGCGGCGTTCACAGCATGGTGAATGTTTAGGGAATTTCTGCTCAAAAGTTTCATGATGGCTGAAACTTATCAACGTAAAAGCTTGTGGTGATAAAGGACAAGAAACTTGGTAACGGAATCTTTATTTGGAATTTGGTATCTCTATATATATGGAAATTATGTACAACTTATCTATAAATCGTCATTTGCTTAGATCCTCCATGCCATGCTAGTTCTGACCTTCTTCTTTTCGCGTCTCCCTTGTTCTGTCGCAACACCGGTTCACGTGCTCCCTTTGACGTCAAGTCCATCACTCCGTTATTTGTATTTAAATGTGACTGAACGTCTCTTTATGTACTACTGATAAATCTTGTCAGAAGCACACGCCACACCCTTACAATATTAGGATAGTTATCTCTTACTACTAGAAAATGAGGAATGGCCTAGGTAAATCTGCGGCGAAATTCAGCAGATAGATGACAAATAATTAATTCCCTCACTGTTTTTTAGGATAGGAAACATATTTAGCCATAACAGCATCTACTACGAACCTTTCTTTCTAAAGACCACGCACACAGAGAATGGTTACCCAAACCGACTGGTTGACAAAAGCGTTACAAAGAAAACGATATTCATGAATTTGGAATTCAAAGGTGGTTAGGCTACAGATGTGCTCTAAAATGGTTTCTCTAAATCCTTCAGCAAGATGCTGTATGCTGTAAAACTACAAATGAATTTGACTAGCTGTATGTTGTTCATCTTCTGCCTTTTTAGGCCGCCTCCATGTATACCGATTGGTTCACCTGCTCCTGTGGAGCTAGATGCATTGGCCGTAGCCAGAGAACGCTCTCCAAACGGATACCAGAACATATTGCAGCATGGAATTTCCCTCATATCACTACACACAGACAACCACGGGAATCAATTCGATTGGGACAGTGTTCAAATATTAGACAGAGGAAACAACAAAATTGCTAGAGGATTTTTAGAAGCTTGGCATTCCAGTGAATCATCAGTCAATAGACACATCCAGATTGACAAAATTTACAAACCTATAAGAAAGAAACCTCACACACAAAGGGTCAAAGTTCAATTCAAAGAAACAATCAGTTCCAATACAAGTAGCCCAGAGGGTGTGAAAACGCACGAAAGTAACCAATCACGTCCAAGGTCACCAGGAGAGATGACTAATAAACTCGTGGAGAAATCTAAAAGCTCACTTTAAATTGAAGTATGCGCTGCAGATGTCACCTAGTAGGGTGATGAAAGCTTCGCAAATTAACTATTCAGCTCAGAGAACACAACCACATCAAAAAAGAAGGGAAGGATGTGTGAAGCTCTGTTCTAGAACACTTGATCGACTTCTGTCACTCTGCCAGTCCTGAACATTATTTTAAGATCATCTATCAAATTTATGCTAATTTGCCGCGTTTTCTTCCTTCTAAACTTCTACAGTCAGCTCACGCGTTGGATATTCATAAATCCAAGCTA